TATACTAGTATAGTTAAGTTAAGTTAAGTTAAGTTAAGTTTAACGTTTACGTTTACGTTTTACGTTTTACGTTTTACGTTTTACGTTTAGTTAGTAGTAGAGAGAGAGAGAGAGAGAGAGAGAGAGAGAGAGAGATCGCACCGTCACGTAAAAAATCAAACTAAGGACAAGCTTCGTGTGCGTCCAGACACACGTGTGTTTTCACAACATAGCGACACGTGTCAAATAACGTCGGCGTTTATGTTTTAAGCCGCTTGTTTAATATGGACGTCCACTACTCGCGGTTCGGTGACGTGGCTGTTTCCTTCATTGGATTCTTTTTTTCGCCACAATTAATTTGTCTTTTTTTTTTGTTCGTTTCAATAAGTTTATATTTGTGGTTTTTGTATGCATGCATTCGATTAAAAAAATGTATGTGACATTGGCGACGAAATACAAATATCTATTTTGTTGTTTAACGTTAAAAAATTATAACCAGAAAGATAATATCATTTTTGACACTGAATTTAAGATACGAGCATGGTACCACAATTTTGAAATTAACATATAATTTCATCTATTTTATTTACAAAGATAAGAAAATAAAATTAAGGTATATATGTAAATATGAGTGAGTCAGTATAGAGATGTTCAGTCACGTAGTTTCTTAATTTTAAATTTATAAAACACATGTTTATTAGTTACCCTTGATGATTAAAAAAGCACTTAATTATTTGCATGCACGTTTTACTAGTTTTTTTTTTCTTTTGTATCTTTTTTTTTTCTTTCGTAATGGCAACTTGCAAGAGTTTGCGAATTTTATTTTTCTTTGAGAAACTTCTGAGGAAGAAGACATTGAAATGTTTTATAATGTTAAATGAAGAAAATAAAAGGAAAGAGACAAGAAATCTATATCAGTAATATACCCAATATTTGATGTTTGGAAATATTAGTATATACGTAGACGTGTAGTATTATTTATCAATTGTTGTATTTGTACGTATCCGGCTATTCATGTGATGAGAACCGACGAGATATATATTGAAAGGGAGATATGGGCAGAACCAAAATAAGCATGTCCCAATACAATTTATGTTAAAGAGGATTCAATCAATAATTGCTAAAATATAACTACTATACACCAACCTATATTTATTAGATACATAATGAATTATTGAAACAAAAATATATTGGTCCAATTAAAAAAGGAGTCTGTGATTTTGACTTATTGTGAGACAATATGTCTCCGTATGTATCTTAAACTTGGATCGTGTCGCTTGATTTGTAGTTTTCCTCCATGCTCATGCACGACTGACTGCTAGTAGTACTTTTGTATTTTGATGCTCATTCACTCACGCACATCTCTCTCATTGATTTTCTCATGCTGCATGTAATAAGTTTTGATTACGAAACAAAAACATATGTAAATGTTTTCTTTTAACATATTATCCGAACTATTGCGGCACGGCGGCACCGAACATGTTAGAACACACACTGACACACATAATAAATCTACACAGAATTTTGATCTGAGTAAAAGACGGTGCCATGCCTATATATATGATCTATGTCTCGGCCATTTAATTTCTCCGAAACTATAAAACATCACATAAGATTTCTATAATAAAAAAACTAATATGAGGATGAATTCAGTACGTATCCTGAGAAAATATTATTCGTGAGCAGCAAAAATATGTGTTAGACATCCCTATAAAGAGAGACATGAGATATCTCCTGATGGATAGGTTTGAAACTAATTGGAATATTGTAGATGTACTAAGTATGATTAAGTATTGTAGATGCATGCACTTTCAATATGATAAAGTGAGAGATGCTGATACAAAGGAAACATCGTTGATACTTCCACCAAACCAAAACGTTTTATTTTTTCCTTTTCCTTTGAACTCTCTATTTTATTTATCCTTATTAAATCTAGTCTAAGTTAAACCCCATCGTATAGCAGATTCATATTCTTACAGATATAAATATCTTCTTCTCATTAGAAATTTTTGGTAGTCATGCAAAATAATACTACTAAATGTTAAAACATGAGATAATGTGAAGATGATATTCGTCAATCGAGTCTACTCATTACTCTCGTAAATCGAGAAACCTGATTTCAAGTACATTACTCTCGTAAATCGAGAAACCTGATTTCAAGTACATTACTCTCTTACCTTGATCCTAGCATGTCTCTCTATGTCCTCTGTTCAACTCAGATCCTTGACAACTCATGATCTGTTTGATTTCTCATTTACAGCTTAAATTCTCAAGTCAAGATTTTCAATGTGGTCTTAATTTTCATTTACAGCTTAAATTCTCAAGTCATGATATGTATCAAAATGCTGTGCTCCGGACAAACGTAGTTTCTTTACATTATTATTACAATTCTGCCAATCACGTCGATAATGTACTGCCATCGTAACTTTGTTACATTTTCTTTCCAACATCAATTTCAAAACCATATCTTCTTACTATTTATTTTATATATTATGTTACTACAATCATAAAAGAACAATGAAAATACTCTAAACAGTGATTTTACCAGTGATATGTTTTTTATAACTATAAATAACCCAATCCCAGTGACTGCGCTCGTCCAACACTTAAGGTTTGGTTAGATCAATGTTCTTGCTTAGCTCCTCCAGCTTCTTGAACCTCAGTTTCTCGCTTTGTCCCTCCAACTGCGCACACTCATAAAAAAAACTTCAATAAGTCTCTCTGTCTCAAAAAAACACAATAAGCGATAATAAACAACACTTATGATTATGCAATTACAGACCCAAAAAAAAAAAAAAAGAGTGATTGGTGTTTTGGATATCTGAATTGCGCAAAGAGGGGTTTACGATCATGTGATGCATCCAATTTGGAGAAACTAAAATTGCAAATATACAATGCAAAGCACTCGAACATGGGGAATTTTGATACAGAGTAGCCACTGATCTCACTTTCAAAAGTTGTGAAACTCGTTATAGAATCAGGAATTCAACTATATTTAGAATGACAAATTTGGCGACTGTATACCAAACCTCAGTAAGACTACTTCCATTATTGTAATTGGAATCATATGCCTCAAAGCCGATTAGTTTGATAAACGACAAACCAATTCGTTAGACCAAACACACACCATCCAGATACATGTGGCATGAACAGACCATTTGTAACGTTCCATTCAAACAACACCCTTGATTTTATTAGGCAAAAGTAGAGAGAAGTGAGAATATTGAACAAACCTCCTGTAGCTTGGTGATCAGCTCCACCTTCTCCTTGTTCTTTTCATTAAATGCTTCAAGAGCATCCTTGTACTCTGTTTCCTGCACATATTGTAAAAGCAAAACAGCTTAGCATCCAAAGAATCCTGATTTATGAGGTTTAAAACTGGTCATGATCTATATAATATATCTTGATAGTCGAGAGAAAGTAACTTATATCTCGAAACACAGTGTTTTTGATTGCAACATTATCTTAGATCTTAGCATTCCAGAGAAAAAAAAGCATTGAAATAAATTCTCAAACACAAAAACTCAAACCTTTTTCTGAACAGTATTCCCCAATGGCCTTAATTCTTTGTCGAGAGAATCAATCTTTTTCCTCACCATAGTAACTTCCTTCCTCATGGGATCAGCAAAACCTTCAAGTTCCTGAACCACTAAAATATCAAACTCACCAAACATACATCATCCACAGTCAAGCTTAGAGCTTGATCCATAGCTTCTTCTTACCCCCAATCAGGTTTAGATCATGAGACAGACATCATATATACAACACAAAATATGCTCATAACAATGAAAATTTCCACAAATCTAGAACCTAAAAATAGAAAAAACCCTAAAATCAGACTAAATCCAGCTTTCTAATTATATAACATTCAACAACTAAATCCGAAAGCGAGTTCAACTTTTCTCCCCTTTTAGACTCTCTAAGTCGTAAGAACTTGATCTAAATCTACACTACAGTTGAAACTTAAAGCAGCAAGCAAGTGAATCAAAACAAGAAATCGAATTGAAAAATAACGTAATAGAAATCAAACCTCGCGAATCATAGCGAGACGCTTGGACTCGTCTTCAACACGACCAAGCTGAGCTTGAACTCTTTCCCTGATCTCCATCTTCTTCTTCTCGATCTCTTCTTCTTTAGCTTTAAACGCCGACAAAGCTTTCAGGGACAGCTCATCGTCTTCCTTCTTCATCTGGCTACTGAAACTCATGCTCTCCGATAACTGATCCTTAAGCCGACGGCCTTGTTCCGCCGGCGCCGGCTGCGACGTCTCTGTCGGTTGCATCTTCTGAATTCTTTCTTTTTCCTCTTCTTCCAGAGAATCTGCTTTTTTAGCCGTTTATCTGATGCGATCTACGATGACCGTTGGATTCTCAGTCCCAATAATAGTGTGAGTGTGTGATGCTGGATGCAAAAGGAGCGTGATTGACTAAACCGGAACTATTCATCAAAACCAAATCAATTTAAACCGGCATACACGCAACGTTTTCCTTTTTTGGGCATTGTAAAGTTTTCCTTTTTTTTTTGTTTGAAAAAGTGTTACTTTTCCTCTTTTTTTTCCCACTCGATAAAATTTCCTTTTTATTTCGATCAGACACGGTTGTATATAAACTGAGAAAGACCCATCATCGATCGCAGATTTTATTTTTCCGCTCTCTATGATCAGAATGAAAAGAAAAAGAATAAAACTAAGAACCATTATTCGATCCTTTGTTAACATTAGTGTGTTCGATTCTTGAAACAGCAACGGAATACGATTTAATTTGGAGCTGACGATTTGAAAGCAACAGCAAAGGTTATGTTCTCTCAATGCAACATGCGTCGACTCCGTTTTCAAAAGGTATCTTTCTCGCCTTATATGTATTGCTCAAACTTTTATCTGGAAATTTTTATTATTATATTCCATGGCCAACCACAAGCCGTTGGAGTCGTTTGTATCCAGGACCGGTTTATTCCTGATTATGTATTTGGCTTGCTTAATAAATTCCTAATTCCCGGCTTTAGTGTTTCAGATATTTTCGTTACTAGACTTTACATTCTAGATGACTTGTTCACATCATTTCAATATAATGAAGTAACCACGTTTTCAGACTCTCTCTTCCCTGATTACGATTTGCGATTTTAGGATCCGAAGTCTGCAAGTCTTAATCGTGGTTTGCTAAAGCATAAACCACGGCGGTTCTACTCGGTGTATAAACCATGAACGAGCAGGGTCGTCCGTCGTATGAGCCATCCTGCATTGGCATGATTGGTCAGGAGATTAGGACAGTCACAATGAATGTAAACTTCGACTTGAATGGCTTAGTTTTTCTTACATATGTGAAATATTCTGCCTTGCTATCAAGCCTTCCGAATCCACCAAACAGAGGATCGTCTGAGTCCAATACGATCTGGAATGTCGAAAAGTAGTTAGGATATCAGATTATATCTTCACCCAGTGCCAAAGTCCCAGTAGTTTCAAAAGAAGAGTTGGATGTGTATACCTTATATTTGCCAGGCTTGGAGCAACCAATGCGGTAATCAAAGTAGCTGCTGGTCCAGTGGAAGTTGAAGACAAAGACGAGATCACCTCTTTCAAATATGATTACTCTATCTCCTTCGTCTTTTCGTGATATGAATTGATGCTCTGAAGTCATAAACTGCTCAAAATGTTAAAAACAGAATTAAAGCCAATGGGTGATTGAGATGATCTACAAACATTATAACTTGGAAGGCTTACACCGTATTTCTCTTCAATATGTTGCATTGCCTGATCAAATTCTTGCAGTCCGTGGTATCTGAGATAATCTGCATCCCCCTATATATGAACTTTTCTGAATCAGAATACAGAAAAGCATGAATCCTGAGTTATGTTGTACTTAGCCAAATTGTACGAACTTACTAGATCAAATCTGCGCCGGCATTTGTCATAACTGAAATTGTTGCCAGGAATCACGCTCCCATCAGAAAGGCGCTGCTCGCCTCTGGGAAAATCGATCCATTCTGAAAATCACAGGAGAAGATGAAGAAATGTACTCTCAAACCAATTTTTCACAAAGCTTAACGAAAAACTTAAATGATACAGTACCTGGATGTCCAAATTCGTTACCCATAAAATTTAAGTACCCTTCACCACCTAATCCCATAGTTATAAGTCTAATCATTTTATGCAAAGCTATTCCTCTATCGATTAGAGGGGTTGATGGCCTGTCTACTGCCATGAAATCATACATATCCTGGAAACGAACAAATATTATCCACACAACTAGTAATATTTAATTGATGAATATAGAGTAGTATGGTTTACAAAAAAAAAAAAGAAAAGAAAAGAATATAGAGTAGTATAATGGCGTCTAATCTAATACCTTATCCATTAACCAGAAGGCAATTGTTTTATCACCAACAAGAGCTTGATCATGACTTTCAGCATAAGAAATACACTTCTCTGACCACCTTCTGTTGGTTAGTGTGTAAACGATGTCGCCCATTTGCCAGTCTTCATCTCTCTTCCTTTACCGCATAACATGGTGGAGAGTAAAACCGAGTCATTCCACCAATCATTGAAGCAGGTTGCAACTTAAAAAGAAAATGTAGCAAGAAAGCAGAAAGAAACTCACTTGAGAATTTCTATCCACTTATCAGCTATGGCCATGTGTAAACGGTAGTCAAATCCAACGCCACCATCTTGGACAGGAATACAAAACGTTGGCATACCACTAACCTGGAACGAAACGATTTTGGAAGCATATATCTTAAAGTAAAACATTTGTGTACAAAGGATATCTTAACTTATCTCGTCAGGGCTTATCTTAGACTACAGTACTTTATTCAAACATTATGTTAGATCAGTGGTGATAAAGAAGAAATTGAGCAAAACTTACATCTTCACCAACAGTAATCGCTTCAGGGTAGAGTCCATGAATCAAATCATTTACCAGCATCAGATAAGTCACAGCATCCACATCAGTTTCCAGTCCAAAGTATTCAGTGTAATTCCCAGTAAATCCAACCTATTTGAAACACAAAAAAAGTAGGTCAGCAAACCGATGTAAGACATGAGTAAAACCTGACACAATATTGGAAAGGAACATGGAAAAACAAATTAAAATTTGCATTGTAGCAAAGCATCCGTTAAAAATTTTGAAGTACCGAGAGTCCATGATGAGTATACATCATTGAGGTAACACCATCAAATCTAAATCCATCAAACTTGTATTCTTCTAGCCACCACCGTGCATTTGAAAGGAGATACCGCAATACCTGAAAGCAAAGAGAGATTTGGAACTAATAGTGCTCAAGGAAGTTGGCTCTTCGCAATATTTTGATTAAGTTCATGTAGTTACATACTTCCCAGCTCCCATAATTGAAAAGACGTGAGTCCCACATCCAATGGTAACCCCGAGGTCCAGAGTGAAAATAGTGAGCATCAGTTCCATCAAACATGTTAAGCCCATCTAATGTATTTTTTGAAGCATGGCTGCACAATTTAGTGAATCGCAATATTATATGTCTTGTGGAAGACCAAAAGGTGGATCTGATTGTTTCCTATCATGAAAACTATCACTACCTATGAACGATATCCATCAGAACGACCAGGCCTAACTCATGAGCTCTGTCTATAAGTGATTTTAGTTCCTCTGGGGTCCCACAACGACTGCTTGGGGCAAAAAAGTTTGTGACATGGTACCTGCGTTCATAATAGAAACGGCCATGTTCCTTAGTAAGAAAAAAACAATAAGAATTAATATATCTACACTACTAGCTGCAATGAAAGAACCAAATAGAATCATGCACATAGGCTGAAAGGCATATAGTTTTGCAACAATAACTAAATGCAAATATCTAGGATTTTACTAGAACCCAGATTAAAGAATACCCAAAGCTTGCATAATATGAATGTTCTTGTATAGCCATGATTTGAACAGCATTATAGCCAAGCCTTTTGATGCGTGGAAGAACATCATCTCTAAAGTTAGCATAAGTATTGACCATTGGTTCCTGCATAACAAGTATACTATCATCATTCACGTGATATAGAGAAATTTCCAGAAATGGGATTTATGTCATTATATTTGAACAACCATACTAAACAAACAAACAGTGTGGAATATTGATACGTTATAAAGAAATTTGGTACACACCGTACTACTCATGCCAACATGTGCCTCATAAATCCTCAGCGACTTAGGTCTCTTTGGTTGAGGATGTTTGAATACATACTTCTCCTGAAAAGAAATTTAGAATCGTTGAAAGGACAACCAAAAGTATCGGCTGATAGGACCACCAACGATAAACTGTACGCATACATTAAATGTAGAATGCCTTTTATTCAGGTTTTATCACACAGTGGAATATAAATGACCGAATCTATTGGTTAAATTATAAACATATGCGTTTGGGATAGTCCAAGAAAGATCTCCATGAATTTTTCTTTGCCAGTACCAACTAATCCATAAATCTGAAAAAAACTTCATACTAGCACAAGCAGAATCATTTTCCACAAGATAATATTTCAAAAGATTGCAGAACCTTACCTCTTCTGGAGGATCATAGTATATCCCATTAAATGGGATTTCACCTGGAGCTTGCACCGAGAACTTTATCCAAGCAGGTATTGAGTCCTTAATGCCAGATGGTGTATCCATACGAATCTGGAGTTTTATGCATCAGAAATTACTTACCGTCATTACATAATTTTCTCAGAAATTTCCTACCAAATATTAACTCATTGCAATTTTATTCACATGTATACAAATGACAAGAAGAGTACATATTAAGATAATGTGGATGCACTCAATATACTGTTATACATCTTTGTGGATTCCTAAGCAGATGACCAGAACAACCATAGCTTTCGCCATTTTCTATATCTAATGCTGAAACTAAGTTTGAAACCCAGCAGAAAACAAATCTTTCTGTGCATAATATAAAGATCACTTGCAACAGTGAGAATCTTTAAGATAAAAACATACAATAATTGGTGGAAGCAGAAATGAATGAATGAAGCGACTTGTTTGCTACCTTTACTCGTGAGCCATGAGGAATTGCAGGTGAACCATCACTGTTGTTGGGCAAAAAGATCTCCCAAACACCAAATTCATTCTGAAAATGATTTGATGAGAGAATAAATTTACTAACATAAGGAATTTAAGCAACATAGTCAATACGCCATACCCGAGTCATGATATCTGCGTTAGAATTCCAGTTGTTAAAATCTCCGATAAGTGATGCAGCCTGAAACAGGCGAGGACAGAAGTTTAGGAAAACAACCAAACTAGTTATAATTAATAAAAAAAAAAAAAAACACACATATATAATCAGAAGTAAAAGTTACATAGAGATGCGACTAACATGCTAAACGCCTACACTCAGATTTGAACAAACCAATAACTCCTACATGGGACAGGTTTCATAATTCATAAACCAATTCTAAGATTTTCCAAAATCGAGGAAAATTTAAAAGTTAATCCTCACATGATCAGGTATAGCATTTCTAATTTTGTTGGCACAAAATGATGCAACGATTCTGTCTACAGTCTTGAATGTAAGAATTAGTAATACACACATAAATTTCTAGTGGAAAACTAAAAGAAACATACCTTAGCTCCAGGCGCCCACTCTCTATAGGTTATACCAGCATCACTGAAAGTGCAATGAAACTACAGTTAGAGAATTATATAATATGCTATTGATGAAATGATATCAAAGTGACACTGCAGCGTTAAGAAAAATATAGCTGAAACAAGACTAGTTTGTAGTTTGGCTACAATCAGGATTTTCTTACTGCAAAAAATGATCACAATACAAAATATATATCACGAGTTCCAAAATCTAGAAACCTGTGATAAGAATGAATTTCTACTAAAACTTAATATACAGCCACTATCCAATGACTCCTTCTTCTTTGTTGCAACACCCACAAAGAATTATTGGTGAAAGTAAATAGTTTACCTGCGCGAAAATCCTAACTTTTCATAGCCACGAGAGAATGCCTCCAGGCCACCCTCATACTTGTCTATTTCCTCACGCAATCTTCGATACTGTCCATAACTGTAGCCAAAATCAATGCAAGATACTTAAGCGGAATCAAAAATAACCCGAACATCTAGCCTTACTACAGAATTCTACATCAAATGTGACAAAAAATCCTTTAATAATTAAGATTTGAGGCTTACTCAAGCAGGTATAGGAATAATTAAACAACTCGAGGCACGCATGATAAATAAATATTACCGGTAATCAAGATGACTGCTGTAACTTCGTAACATGGGGTCAATCTCGTATATTTTCTTCCCATCACCAGGTGGGGGAACTGTTCTTGGTTTCGCCGCTCTCTCTTTGACGACTTTAGCATCATTGTAAACTTTACGCGGATCAAAAACAGACCCTTGTTCTTCTGTTGTTACTGCCTCGTTCTTTTCCATTGTTTGAACCTCTAGATCAAATCTCTACAAGAAAAAGAAAAAAAAGAAAAAATTGGTTTCATGTTAAAATATCTACAAGTATGCAATGCACAGATAGCAGGTCCAAGTTCAACCTCTAAAAAATTGCCTCAAACTCACTGATTAAAGAGGAGAGAGATGACAAAGATATCCACCTGTGGTTCTTCTGAAAAACTGCTGGGATCATCATCAAGATTATCAGGTACTAAGACTTTATCAGAGGCAGCGATAGCTTGTGAGGAAGAATCAAACTCCGCAGATTGTTTCCCAGCAAAGATCTTCCCTACAGACATGGATCTAATCAAGAGGATATCTGGAGAACGATAACTAAGAAAATGCTTGATCAGAAACAGATGAGTAAACTCAATTTCCACAAATCACAATATGTCCAGTGAATTTAGTTCATTGAAGCTAGTCCAGTGACGAATTAGCTCAGAAATCAATTTAAGCACAACAATGGCGTCTTAGAGTAAAGCAAAAAAAAAAAAAGGGGAGTGAAGGGAGAGAGAGAGAGTGAGAAAGAGGCGTACGAGAGAGATGGTGCTTCTTCAGGAAAAAAGAGAGGCTAGAATTGCCATTAAAGCCGGTGTTGTTGAGAGGTCGAGGAGAGGAAGAAGGAAGAGGGAAGCGTGGAGTAACAGACACTCCGTGTATCACCACCATATCCTTCACCGCCGGTGACTCCTACAGTGAGCCAAAAAAACCGAAAAAATCGGAAGACAGATAGAGAGGAGAGATCTGGAAAAACAAAAAAGAGAAAAATCTGGAAATCAAATGAGTGGCGGGTTCGCTAATTTTGCTAAATTTTTTTGTGATTGCGAAACGAAGCGGACGATTGCTTAAAAGATGAGAGTGTAGAGTGAGGGGTCCAACACCCCCAAGTCCCAATTCCCCATCGTCCATTTCACTTTTTCTATGCTTTTATTTAATTTTTTATTATATGGTTTTGCAAATTTAACGGTCCAAGTTTTATTTAACCAAAAAATATTTGTGTCACGAGACCTTCGCGAAGCACTTTGTAACTGCACTACGTGACGTAATTTTTACATATACCTCTATTTAGTGAGACCAATGCATGTAGCTTTTTACATATAATTCAGAAAACTAATAATGAATTTTGATACTAAATAAATTACACAAGGCAACATATTACCAAACGTTACATAAAAACATTAAACAAATCTTTAACGTACGTTACTTACTTTTTTTTGTCAATATTGACACTTTAACCTTTTAATTGTTTAAATAAAACTCTCTTCCTTCCTTTATACATAATTAGTTCCCCATGCCTTGCTATATATGCCTGCCTAATATGTTGAGTACGCTTAGAGGAAAAAACAATTCTTGGTACAAATTTCATTCTAATTTATTATTTTTAGTGAATGAGCATCTTTTCTAATTAGTTTAAGACAATATCTATAAGTTACACTACATGGATCACAACATCTTTACAATAATTTTAAGTATAATTATTATGGGATCAATCAACATCTACATTTGTTTCTGGTAAAAAATATTAATATATAAAAACCAAATAACAATAATACATTCGTTTAAACAAATAATAACCAAAAAAGTGGCTTTACGATACAAACAAGAGTTCTACGAATTACGTACGAAAGGCTTATAGAGACTAGAATAACTCGAACTCAAGATGTTCCCCAACCGCCTTGCAATCCAAGTAATTGCTTTTACCTTCGTGATTCGGAACTCCATAGTCATAAAAATCCGGAAGCTCTGGTGGGATCGCACACCGTATCAACGCCCAGTTCAATCCTTCGAAAAAAGCGTGCCGTTTTATCTCCGCCGCTCCTTTCTCCGTCCCTAACCGGTTCTCGGGTTCCTTGACTAATAACCCTTTTATAAGGTCCTTTGCTTGGAAACTCACGTTAGGGTTATCAGGAAACTTCAAGCTCTGAAGCACCACATTAGCTATAGTCTCCTCGTTAGTTGCCCCTTTGAACGGAGTTTTCCCATAAAGAAGCTCGTATAGAAATATCCCAAACGTCCACCAGTCTACCGCTGCACCGTGACCTTCGCCTTTGATGATCTCGGGTGCGAGATACTCGTGTGTTCCGACAAAAGAGTTTGATCTCGCATCTGTTGGTTCCGCCACGAGCTGAGGCAATGATTTGAACCGCGCGATTAGGTCAGATTTCTTGAGTTTTTTCATCATTATGCGGTGTTGTTTGCCCTTTTTCTTGCTCCCAGATCCGCGAGAGAGTTTAGGGCGGAAACACGATGGCTCGATGCAGTTAGATCCAGTGCGGCTACCGGAGGATAGTCTTATAGCATCCACGTGAAGCGGAGATGACGAGTGTAGAAGCGTTGGACTCACCGTACATCTTAAGGAGAGATCAAAATCTGTCACCATGATATGCCCATCATCACGTACCAAGATGTTCTCGGGCTTCAAATCGCGGTATATAACCCCAAGCATATGTAAATACTCCAACGCGAGAAGGACCTCTGCCACATAGAACCTGTAAAGAAGATATTAGGATTCACATCACAAATCATAAAAGTTAACCACGATATCGTAAGAAACAAAGTACCTAGCCGCTGGCTCGGGAAACCACCTCCCAGGCTGCTTTTGCCTTAAGACATGTAAATCGCCTCCGGGACAACATTCCATGACCAAACACGATAAGTTGTCAGACGTGAAGTGAGCGTATAACGTGGGAAGAAACGGGTGATCGAGCATTTTGAGAATATCTTTCTCAGTTTGAGCCCTCGACATCTTGTTCCTCCTCTCCAAGAATTCATTATCCATCACTTTTATAGCAAACAAGCAGTTTGTTCCAGTGAGCTCAGCGAGATAAACTGTTCCTATGTCTCCACATCCGAGCTTCTTCAGAAGATTGAAATGCCTAAGACCCAATGAACCTAGCCCATGTTGTGCCCTTATATGCTGAATAGCTTCCCATCTCACATCCTTAGACATATGAGGTCTGTTTCCAAAGCTAGACCTTGTCATTATATTATTCCCCTGTTCTTGATCTTCCTCGCTGATACTCGTGCTTGAACTGTTGTATCCGACACAGTCGTCGCCTTTGTTTTCAACTTCAGAGTTCTCATTTACGTCTTCCGTAGCTGCTCCGTCTAAGCTGAGTTTGTTGGGAGGGCTATCTGGATTCATCACAACAGATTTCTCACTGAAAGAACCAATCTCAACACTCTGTTCAGACATAAAGACAGAATTTTTCTGATCGACCTCTTTGCGAGACAGAGAATCTTCCTCAATGATCTCATTGTTGCCGTATTCAGAAACATCATTGATATGTTTATTACCAAATGCAGATGTCAAAGAAACCTTAGAGGTCTCTGAATTAATCAAATCGAGGGAGCTTCTTAAGTTATCAAGTTTGGTCTCTCCACTAGCACTGATCTCATGAGAGCTCTCATAGCTTGAGCTGGAGAAATCAGAAGCCAATTCATCTAAACAAGCTTCCTTAAAACACGGATTCAACTCAAGATCTGCTTCTACAAGTGAATCTTTAGAGGGCTCTTCTTTAGCTGCAGTATTCTTCAAAGCGAAATGGCATCTATGGCAGAGAAGTTCTTTTGCTATGGGATCATAGAAGCCATCTACTTCATCATACACATTTGTAGCCTTCTTTTTCAAGCTACCTTTGTTCCTCAGTGCCGGTTTAGCTCCTCCTCCTCCTCCTCCTCGTGGAATGGTTCTGGTTAACTTAGCCACTCTCTTGCCGTTAACTATTGTGGAACCTGGTGTACTAGCATACAACAGCCTCACTTTTCTCACTGATTTCAGTCCAACCACTGTCTTATTGTTCCCTGATCCAGGCGAAGATGAACCAAAGCTCCTCTTTGCGATACCTAATTCTTGGTCGTCAAGAGACAAGTTCTTTTCTTTTTTTGGTACCGTCATCTCATTGCAATACCGCCTTGATGTCTGAGAGTTTTGGCTCGAAGAATGTATCTTAAGAAGACGAAGCTGCTGCGCTATACTATCCGATGAACTGTTTTGAGACTCGTCGAGTAACTCAACAAGAACTGCCTTTCCTTCTTCGTTAGCTCCACTCCCCGGTTCAACCAAAACAGAACCGTAAACTGAGCCTCCAGTACTAGTCTTAGGAATCCGTTTTGTAGCTGCAGTTTCTGATGCCTTAGAGACACATAAATCTCTCAAGGCTTGTTTCAAAGTCGCTGGTTCAGTGTTTCTCTTGGTAGGCGATCGAGGTCCCCCGGGATTGGCGGGACTTTTAAAAGCGTTCCGTTGTAAAGGACCATTATTTCTACTGCTACTACTTGCACCAACTTGGTAAGAAGGAATCATTCCGGATGTTCGAATACTTATAGACTCGAAAAGCTGGTTTATATCATCTTCTAGTGAACCCCTGTAGCCTAATTTCAGTACCGGTCGCTCCAGATCCTTGTCGTCGACAAGGCTTGATCCAGAATGTGGAATAGTGGTTGATTTAGCAGAATAAACTATCGAGTTCTGACGGTCTTCTTTCTCTTCGACAATTTCACACTTTCCGGCAAATGAACCCATAACATTAAAGATCAGTCACACAGCATCTTAGTAACCGCGGAAATGCGAGTACTCTAAACCTGTAGATACATCTTCTGATCCCACACACCTGAAATTATATCAGAGATTAAAGAATGGATCAAATCTTGTCTAATGAAATTATAACTCTAAAGATAACAGAACAAAACAGAACAGAACAGAGCAGTTTGGAAAAAAGAACCATCAGTACTTGTAGCAGTAGATTTTGATCATAAAATACGTAAAACTGTGAAACAGTCACATATCAGGACAATTTAATCCCACAACGTTCTGCAACTGCAGTTGGTTCATAATTTAAAGTTTATGGATTTATGTCTTAGTTCCTCAGAGATTACGTCAAAATTTAAAAGATGAATCAAAAGTCAAGTTTTTTCTAAATAAGAAATATGAATTAGGCAAAGTCGTGTTAATATCATGTTACCTTATTTATTCTTCAATGAACACAAGACAAGACATGTACTATTGCATAATAATAACACATGCCAACATGGAAACAAAAATTCATGAAGATGAAGATACTCTAGCTAATTTCATCATGTTGATTACATCTATGAACAAGAGTAAGACATCTATGAACAAGAGTAAGACAGTACCTGGATAGATTACTGAAGAACTCGATGAAAGTGAATGATTGAACGACTTTGCAGAGAGACAAGAGAAGCTGTTGTACTTACGGTCTTTTGTTTCTTCTCCCTCTTGTTTGGTTTTTCTTGTCGGTATAATTCTGAAGAGGTTTCTCACAAAGGATTCTGCATATTTTTTTTCCTGGGAAGTTTTGAAGAACCAAAAATAAGGGACCCATATCATATGTTTGTGGGTCTCATGTAACAACGAGATTATTTAATATATTTTTGATTAATTCGATGGAGACTATATTGACATGTTGATCACTACTCCATTTCTTGCGTGTCTTTCCCCGTTGACATGTGTCTTTCAGCAAAAGAGTTTGCTCTGTAATTCCAAGTATATCAGGTTGTAGAGATTAGTATTAGGATTTGGATTAAAACTTGAGAAAAATGCGGTCATGATGATGGACCTAAATAGACATTTGACAATAATGATGGTCTTTCCATCACTATAAGTCTAAAAAATATCATTTAATACATATCACTTCGCTCGAGGAAAAATTATACGACTAGTAATGTTTCTCTCTTGAATATTCAAAAGTTAAAAACAACATTAAATTATCAAAGAGACTACTAGTTTCTTAAAAGTTAAGCTAATTTTTATAAAAGCATAGTATTATATATAGTTTTCTTAAAGCTTAAAAATGTTCGCAAATCCAGGAAGATCAAATAAAGGAATGGACCGCAATATATATAAAATTTAACTATTCATTTAATATTAATTAGGGTGGTCATCATGTTTTTTTAGGTAGAACAAGTTAAAGCACCCTTCGATTATGGTCAAATATGTGAGCCCTTGTGGCAATTGTGCGTAGCACTAAGTCTGCATACTAACTATAGGTACAAATGAAAGTTATGTGTATAGATTTATTTTATTTTTGTAATTTTTCTCTAACAACAGTTTAGTTGACTTCGGATGCTTAAGTTTTGGTTTACTGATGGGTACGGATCCAACAAAGAGGAGAACTTCATAAAAACTAGTCGGGCCAGCCCATTAATATAAAGCCCGTAGTAATTGTTTTTTTTTTTTTGGTCTTCTATGGTTTCGTCATCCTCAATTAATGTGTGCATTAATTAAACTAACGAGAGTATCAATTAGTATAAAAATGAATGGGGGAACTTTCTCACACGTTCGGTTAATTAGATTATTACAGCCGTATCTTGGTCCTTTCTCATTAAATTTGCATCCAGAAACTATCATTATTTTATGGTATTTTATATATAGTCATGCCAATGCCCGGTTCTTGCTGTGTCAAAGCTCCCAAGGGTCACATCATTCATTAATAATTTAGTTAATCTAATGGTCACTTCACTAATTAATAATTAGGTCCCAACTTCTACTAGTCAATTTTGTTGCATAGTCTTTCAACTCATTTAGAATTTATTAGCTCGCCATTTTGACATATTTTGACTAAAATCTAAATCTTTGTTGTCAAAACCCATACTAATCTAATATTCTTTTTCTCATTATTAGTTAAAAATATATAATACTTAAATTTCTTCTTGTACTAGTAGATTTTCTTTGAACTAAATCCTATGATTACTCCGTATTCTTTCATTTTGTCCTATAAGCAAGATAAACATTATTGTTTTAACTGTGTTAGCTTTTAGCTTTAAATCCAAAGATAATTATGAAACTGGTTCAAATCAACCAACAACTCCTTAAAAAGATAGAGATGTTTTACTTTATTCGTCAATTTGACCTTGTGGTTGCTGACAAAGCAGCATTATGTATGATTCCTTTTATACATCTTTGCTTAGTGTATACATATTTGGAGAAAAAAAAACCTCCCAAAGTATGAAAGGTTATCAATAAACCGGATTCATACCGGGACTTAAATCTGAATTGTCCGTTTCACATTGAACAGATCTGTCACGTGTGTTAAGTTAAGACCAGGTCAAGAATATTAGTCGCTGACCAAGATTTCGATTCATTAGATTTCGATTTCGATTTCTCCACGAAGCGGGATATCCAACGGTTTAGATTAAGCCACGCGTAAAGATTCCTTCTAAACAGAACAAGCCTCCTATAAAAGCCCCTGACCCAATCATATTTCTCGGATCCGAGTGGAAAGGTAAAGAGACAAAACTGAAGTTAAATTAAAAAAAGAAACAGAGACGATTCGATCGCATCAATGGCGGAAGAGAAGAGCTTCAAGTATGTGATCGTCGGAGGTGGTGTCGCCGCCGTAAGTCTCTCTGTTCTTTCTCCTCTTTATCGGACTTATGCTTTCTTATCTCTTCTCTTACGAATCATTACACTGTCTTAGTGCTCACTGCTTTTTTTTTTGGTAAAAGGTGCTCACTGTTTTTCATCATTCGAGAAAATAGTTTCACTGATCGTATCTCTAGATCTATTGATTTTTAGTTTGATCCATATGAACTATAGGAGAACGATGACTATTGAGCTACTACTGTTTAGACAAACGAATCAGTAGCTTTTTACTATGTCTTAATTCAGTTTTGTTGTTTGTTTTGGGTGGTCTTGATTCATAGGGATACGCTGCGAGAGAGTTCTTCAAGCAAGGTGTCAAGCATGGTGAACTTGCCATCATTTCCAAGGAACAGGTAAGTTTAATGATGAATATTATATGATTCTAGGACTTAGCTCTTCAGGATTCTTGTGATTTATATAATATTAGTGAATTGTGTTACACAGGTCCCTCCATATGAGCGTCCTGCACTTAGCAAGGGATATATTCACCTCGACAGTTAAAATTCGTTCCTACATCTTTTTTTATTTTTTCATCAATTGGGTTGTAGTTTAGTATGTGCTTGGTTTTTGATTAGATTGTTATTTGTTTCATGGTACACAGATAAAGCTACACTTCCGAATTTTTATGTCTGTGCTGGAAGTGGAGGAGAGAGACAGTTCCCTATGTGGTACAAAGAGAAGGGTATGGTTCTTTTTAGTCTGCTTCATTACACTAAATTTCTCTCTACTCTTACGTGTAGTTTCTAACTGCTCCTTTTTTTTTTTGCAGGTATTGAGCTGATTTTGGCAACAGAGATCGTCAAAGCGGATCTTGCTTCAAAGACTCTTGTTAGTGGTACTGGACAAGTCTTCAAGTACCAAACTTTGCTAGCTGCAACTGGTTCTTCTGTGAGCACAAACTCTCCCTTTACTCTGTACTTTGGAATATTCCATCCAAGTCTTTTTTTTTTTTCTCTTTATTGCAATGTTGTCTAAGGAGTTTGTTTAATTGTGCAGGTCATAAGGTTGTCAGATTTTGGCGTCCCAGGTGCAGATGCTAAGAATATATTCTACCTGAGAGAACTTGAAGATGCTGATTACCTTGCTTATGCAATGGAAGTTAAAGAAAAAGGAAAGGCCGTCGTTGTTGGTGGTGGTTACATCGGTCTTGAACTCAGTGCTGCTCTGAAGGCTAACAACCTCGACGTTACCATGGTTTATCCAGAACCTTGGTGCAGTAAGTGAACACGTTTTAAGCCAAACCACTAACATAGAATTCTTATTGCTCTCCCTTTGTTTAACACCTCTCCTTTTGGTTGTGTCTTTGAAAAAGTGCCTCGGCTTTTCACCGCTGGCATTGCTTCCTTCTACGAGGGTTACTACGCCAACAAAGGAATCAACATTGTCAAAGGCACTGTTGCATCCGGTTTCACTACCAACTCTAATGGAGAGGTTAGCAATTAACATCACCGTTTAAACTTTACAAGCAACAGTTTTTCTCTTTACTGCTTCAACAATATCTCTTTGTTACTTAATGATGCAGGTCACTGAGGTGAAATTGAAGGATGGAAGAACATTAGAAGCTGATATCGTGATCGTGGGTGTTGGTGGTAGACCGATCATATCACTCTTCAAAGGTCAAGTTGAAGAAGAGAAGGGTGGTTTGAAGGTTTGTGACTTACACATACTCCATTATTCTGCAGTAACTGGGATGCATATATTGATTTTGTAACTCATGAGATCTTTCTTTGATTGCAGACTGATGGGTTCTTTAAAACAAGCAACCCAGATGTATACGCCATTGGTGATGTAGCAACTTTCCCAATGAAACTCTACAACGAAATGAGAAGGGTTGAACACGTTGACCATGCTCGGAAATCCGCTGAACAAGCCGTCAAGGTACTAATAAATGCCTATCCTTACAGTCTTTAACGAAAATATGAGTGAGTTGTATAAAAAGCATCGTTGATTCAATCGATTTGTATGATTTTGTAGGCAATAAAGGCTGCAGAAGAAGGGAACTCGATTCCGGATTATGACTATCTTCCATACTTCTACTCTCGAGCCTTTGACCTCTCATGGCAATTCTACGGTGACAACGTTGGAGAATCCGTAATGTTTGGAGACAATGACCCCAAATCGCCTAAGCCTAAATTCGGAAGCTACTGGATTAAAGACGGGAAAGTGGTTGGAGCATTTGTAGAAGGTGGAACTGCTGAAGAGAACCAGGCAATTGCTAAGGTTGCAAGAGCACAACCTTCAGTTGAGAGCATTGATGTGTTGGCTAAGGAAGGCCTTTCCTTTGCCACTAAGATATAAGAAGACAATTAAGCTAGTGTGAGCTTTGAGTTTGAGTGTCTTCATGTCATTTAAACTATTGATAACAGAGTGGACGCTTTTTGTTATTGGTTTGGCTCCCTTTCTTCGCATTGTTTGGTTCATGAATAAAATTGTAAGTGTCATTCAATTCAATTTTCAAATCTTCTCTTTCTTTCGAAATTTACCAATTTTCTTGTGTGTTTGTCACCGTCGGTACAGAAACCTTACTTGTGGTTAATCAAAGTTTGTTACTTGTTCTAGGAGATTTGTTCTTCGTGTTCATATTTTTTCTATAATCATATATAGTAATATTATATACAGGTGTTCTTATTCTGCCAAAATTTATTTCCTATTTGAGTTCAAGTTTCAACAAAACTAGACTTAAAAAAACCAAACACTACAATAAAACAAACAATGATCTAAAATAAAAGTCTTCGTCTTTAATAGTTGTTATCTGATCGGAACAACAGAATTGGGCTTCTCACAAGATGCCCTCTCGAATCATCCCATTCCACAGAAGCGGACACAATCCCTTTCATTGTCTCATCCCAAACTCCATCAATCATTACCTTAAAATTCTTCTTCTCTCCAGGTTTCTCGAAACTCATAGCCTTAGGAACAACCTCCACTTTCAAACCCTTCGGTACCCAAACCTTAGCTACGTAGTTCGATGGTCCGTATCCGACATTCCTCACTGATCTGTAGAAAACTTCCGATACTTTCGTACCCGTCGAGCTCACTTGCTTGTGCATCGACGGATAATTTATCCCGTCGGATCCTAACCCTCGTCTGAAATTCTCGCAGTTGTATTCCGTCTTCGTCGTGTTGTTCTTCTTACCGCCGATTAAAAGTCCGATGCTTGTGCTATTATACCCTTCTTTACATAGGAATCTTAGGTATGCGTCCTCGGTGATGTCGAAGACTAGACCCGGGTGAATCGCTCTTCTCGGGTTTATTTGACCCGACCCATAACTTAGTTCTGCTTCGTTGCCTTTGATCCTCATCGGAGTAGCTGTAAAGATTGGAACTTTCTGTTAGTTGTGAGGAATGCAAAGGTTGGGACTTTCTGTTAGTTGTGACTTGTGAGGAGTGTAAAGATTGGAACTTTTTGTTACTTGAAGAACGTTTTGAAGTTTTGTGTGATAATTTAGTTGATAAAGTTTACCTGTTGTCATAAGGGCGGATTTTATTGCGGCTGGAGACCAATCAGGATGGAATGATTTGACATAAGCTGCAGCAGCTGCTGCGTGAGGGCAAGCCATTGATGTTCCTGACATTATGGAGAAAAGTGTTTTTCTGTTGTCGTCTGAATAACCGGTGACTGATGCTAGCTTCGAGTACGCCGCGAGTATGTTTAGTCCCGGCGCTGAAATGTCAGGCTGTTGAAGAAACCGGGATCAATAGAATCACTTGGAGAAACCTTGAGAACAAATAGATAGATAGGAAGAGAGAAGAGAAACCTTAAGAATGTTGGGGCTGATTCGTTGAGGTCCTCTTGCTGAGAAAGAAGCAATTGAGGGAGCTACCATTTTGATTGTTTTTGTCTTAAAGATAACTGCTTGAGGATTTCTGTTGAGTTGGAATGCGTATGTGTGAGGAACACCAACTAAAAACAGAAGTTAAAAGGGGGACACATAGACATAGAGAGACGAGATATATTTGATTACTTGGTGGAGTTGATGTATTCAGAGATCTTTGTACCGTCTTCGAAGAAGACATAAGAGCCAGCAATGAGAGTTGAAGTGGCCATATCAGTCGGTTGTAGAAGTTGAACGATCACACCAGCTCCTTTTAAGCTTCTTACAACATGATCTTGACCTTGACCTCCATTGCCTCCTTCCTCGCGTCCTGCTTCACAGTAGACTACCTTCCCCATCACTTTATCCTCCCCTAATGTCCCGGACTCACAAGTACTGTATAAACAAACTCACAACCGTTTTAAGACGATCAAGACTGTAAAAATCTGAGAAAGATTTAGGTTTTTGCTCTGTTATGAGATTTACCTAGGCTCTCCATAGCCTCCTGCAGATAAGTTAGATGCAAGCGAACCGCTTGTTAACGGATACATTTTCTCTCTTGGAGAGAATCCGTTTAGAGAGATTCCCTGCAAAAGAGATATTGCACTCTTATTTTACCCGCCATTCAAGCAAGATCATGATGATACTTCAGTTCCTGAAAGAGGTATACTCACAGATGCGGTGAGGCCATTGCCGAGTTTGACAACAGTTTCAAACTTCCTGTCGAGTGAGTTGGCCGCGACAGTCATTACCCATGGCGCAAGGTTGGAGACCGTAAAGAGACCAGGGCCGTTATTGCCTGCAGAACACATTGTCAAGATCCCTTTCTTCATCGCGTGAAACGCTCCAATCGCAATTGGATCTTCGAAAAACGGAAGAGAGGCTCCTCCGATTGAAATCGATATAACATCGACCCCATCAGAAATAGCCTCATCGAATGCCGCCAACATGTCCATGTCTGTACATCCTGATTGCCAGCACACCTTCATTTGAAACAGAGAATGTATCTCAGATATTCCTTCTGCTCCAAGAAAACAGAGTAACCATAGAACCGGAAAAACAAACCTTATAAGTGGCTATTCGAGCTGAAGGAACACCGCCCCGAGCTGTTCCGTTTGCAATTCCAAAGAGGCTAGCGCTGGAGATTGAAATACCGGCAATTGTGGAAGATGTGTGAGTCCCGTGACCATCGTAATCCGCGGGAGAGTCTCCCTTGCCATCAGGAAGTCCCTCTTGGTCGAGATGGAAGTACTTTGCGCCTATCACTTTACTGTAATCCAAAACCAAATTAAAGAAGAAGAAAAGAGAGGCTGCAGAAACAGAGGACTATGAAAACAGAGCATTTGTACTTATTGCAACGAGTGAAGTTATTTCCAGTTACACATTTTCCTTTCCATTTAGCTGGAGGAGGACCAACGCCTTTGTCATCAAAGCTTGGTGAGTCGACATCGATTCCTTGTTACAAGAACAAATAGAGTTATAAATCCTCTTTTACCAATAAATTCAGATTTGAGCTCTAAGTTTACTTACCTGTGTCAAGAACTCCCACAATGATATTACTCTCGATTGCTACACTTCTTTTGTATTTAGACTCAACTAATCCTAGAAAATCCCATGATCTTGTCGTATGAAGCTGTCTTTGAGTATTCTTAAACACCGATACAACTCCCTCTTCGCCTGCAAGGAAACAATCCAGAAAAAAACAATCACTAATCACATCAAGATAAAACACAAAATTCATTTTACAGGTTTGTAAACTTACGTGATAGCTTCTCTGCTTCATGAGGAAAAAGCCTTGCCACAAAGCCATTAATGTTCTTCCCATAACTATATATTTTAACTTCTCTTGCTTTGCTCTCGCTGCAAAAAAATATATCATTTCGAATAAAAAATTCAGATAAATCTATAGCGATCCTATGAGCAAGAACTGGTTTCTTACTCTCCGATCACAGTCGATAAAAGATTATGATGGTTTTTTGCAGCTTCAACATGAAAACTCTCAGTTGCTTCTCCCATGTACACAATGTAAGGCTATAAAGACAGAGAAATAGAACACACTGATGAGAGATTAATTGGCTTATCACAGAACACACAGAAACATTCTTCACTTTTACATTATTACCTTTCTCTCGTTGTTATCATCTTCCGTGGCTGCTATAAACGCTGTGTTAACAAGACAAAAACAGAGTATAAACAACAGTAAATGCTGATTCGGAATCATCTTTTTTGATATCGAGATTAGTTAAAACTGAGATTTGCTTGTGGCTTTTGGCTAAGAAGAAGATCAATAACGTTGAAACTCTACAACGTTAATAAAACAAAGTGGACAATACTTAACAGCCAATAATCTTTTAAACTGATTGCTTAGGCTAAGTAATTAGTATAAGACTGAGAGTCCTTTGGCTTGTTATTAGGATCTTGTTAAACCTAACTTTCCGGTTTATTAGTTACATTTCATTTATTTCTTTATTTTGTTTCTCTGAATGAAATATAATAGGGTCTGAATGAGTAGTAGAATTGAACAAGTTTAGAGATTTTATTAGTCACACAATCTTTTAACACACACAACACACAAAATGAATGAAGAGATACTGAGAAACAGAAACAGAGCTCCATAAGAAGAAACCTGAGAAAAAAAGTGAGTATGTTTGGTTTGTTTATCACGCTTTAATCAAAGACGCAGTAAGACTTTCGCGTAAAACCGAGTAAACCGATCTCCATCCTTCTTCAGTAGGGTGAAGTCCATCCCAAAAGAAAGCAGATTTAGGATCATCACATACCATGTACTTCTTCACTCCCTTCTCATCTACACTTCCACAGTTATACTCCCGGCTCACACCTACGCAACACGGCTTCAACGGACTCTGAAACTTCGTACTCCCTAACATTTTCCACACATAATTAACTGATAAGACTTTCAAGGAAAAGGTTGTTCAAAAGGACTAAAAGAAAATGAAAAATCTTGTAATGTACCTGGATTAGCTCCTTTGTTCTTGAACACAGTCAAGAAAGCATTGTAGAGATCAAGAATAATAAAAGTCGACTGCTTGGTCTCGTTATTAAGCTTTGCCACAGCTTGTTGTAACAAGTTGTTGTGGAGGTTGACCAAAGCGTTTTGTGTCTCGTTACAACGCTGGAACGAGGATGCGACGGTGGAGGGAGGGAGACAGCCAAGCGGTTGAAGCGATGGTACTGCTATCTTTTTCACTCCCAAAGCGTGGATTCGCCTCAAATTCACCTCTGTTTGATCCACAACTTTCTTTATGAATCCTGGGAACTCCTGTAAGACACAACCAAAGTAAAATGAGTCTACATGCCTAATATACCTGATATAACTTAAGATATATGAATGATGCTTACAGAGGCAGGGCGGTTTAGGGCGATGAAATTGGAGTAGTCGTTGCCGGCGACACTGACGAGAGCAACGGAGGAAGTAAGCTCGAAAGGATAGTAGACATCGCCGGCGGTGAGGATGTTCTGGAAGATATCGATCTGAGTGGTCATGTTTGGCAATGGATTCTGAGTGTTGAACACTCCGGTTCCTCCGTACGCGAAGTTCATACCGTACTGTAAACGTTTCTTTCCCGCGTAGTCTTTCCAGAAGTATGGGATTGGTGACTTTATCCCCACAAATTTTGCTACAATCAAATTTGTATATTTTCATTTAGTTTAAAGTTAAGTATCTGGCTAAACCTTCGTAAGTTTCCGTATGTTAATTATAACACTGCATGTTCTATATAAAACTAACGACGACTTGAAAAAAAAAAAAAAAAAAAAAAAAAACTAACGACGACTATTTGACTTCACACAACCTCGTTATACTCATATCTCAGTCTTGGGCCAATATGATAAGAATATATTTCTCAGTTATTACTTATTAGTTTTATAACTTGATTTAAATTTGCAATCTGAGTCTTTCAAAAATCTTTCTTTTTCAAGTAGATAGTATACCAAAAACTAATGCAATATATCGTTGACATTACGCAAATTTAAATACATTTTCATCAATCCTAAGAAAGTTTAATTATATAGAAAGGCTATTGATTTAAGACTTTTTCAGAAGTAATGTTCATTAGACTACGTATGTATGCACTTTAACAGCGCAGATGTTGGTGTTTAGCTTTATAGTCTTTTTATATATAATAATGATAAAAGAGATGGCAAAAAGAAAAGCTTGAAGTGTTGTTGCTTTGTTGATGCTAAGTAAGTGGTACTGGCTATGATGAGAGTATTAAACAGACATCATAAAAATAAAATACTAAAAGAAAAAAGATATAAGAACTTATAAAGGACGAGTGGAAAAAATTGGATTCATCAGCACCGAATAAAATACAATGAATGCAAAAAAACTAAAGTGATGAGTGGTATAGCATTCTAGAGAAGATACATGTTACTGTGTGATCTTGCTAACGTGTTAAAATCCAAAGGAAAGTAACAAAATGTTTTTTTTAGGACTTAAGATTCATTATGGTTTTTAAAATGATGATGCTGAAAACGTAAAAAGCAGAGTATCGATATGTTTCTTGCCATAATAACACTATCAATTTTCACACTGTTCACCATTCCAACGTATTTTTGGCTATTTGTGAATTACATAATGTGTGTGTTATATAATAATAGTTTTTTTTTTTAGAACGCAAATAATAATAGTTTTTCAAAATAATATATGTAAGGAAAAGGACACTGGTATTTCACGAATCACTGACAAATGGTAAATGATCGAACTTATTTCCCTTACCAACCAAAATGTAAATTTGAGACAAATAATAGATTCAACATCACTTAACCGGAACGAATGTAAACCTAAATTCCTCAATAATATGTTTAATCCAGACACTAACAGATAAACATATTAAAAAAATTGTTCCAAGGAAAAGTTTTTATAGGATAATAAAAAGGAGAATATAAATAGTTTTTAAGATTAATAAACAGAAAGTAAGGAAAAAAAAAAAAAGCTTAGATAAAAAGCAAAGTACATTACAAGAAGAAGATGGCGAGAAGAAAGAAGAAAGAAAGCAAAAGTGAGTCGCGCACTGGATTGACACTAAAGACCACTCTTCCATCATTGTTTTTTGCACCTTATTTTATATTTTACGATTTCATCATATATCTTACTTATATGTTTTATGATACATGTTTAAGAATTAAGACATAAGGTTATAATTTTAAACATCGTTTGGTAATTAGGTACTTAACACTAATCAATCATTTACTTACCACATATTGTGTATCATAAAGGCTAAAAACTAAAGTTCACTATTTCAGCAGGAGACTTTTAGTGTTTGGTTTAGTCAATAACAACTTTGATTAGGATTTTTAATTGAAATATTTATAACAACAAGATTCATAACTTAGTATATAGCAAAGGAATAGATAGTTACCTAGAAAATCGGTGGCGACGCGGCCGTCGGAGAAACGACCGGCGGGTTTTCCGGGGAAAGTGATACCGTAAGGGAATTTCCAAGAACTAGAGAAAGACTTCTTGATGTTTCCGGTATCGGCATAAGAATCTCCGAACACAAACAGCTTTGTTGGTCTGAATGCATACAAGTGATGATTTTGATTCGATGCCTCCACCACTCCATTGATTTCTCCTGCATAATATAAAATATAAAATTAGGAAAAAGTTGTTGTGATGGAGAGCTATAAGATGGACCGTTAGTTTTAATTACCAAATATGAACAAACTGAATAGAAAGAGGAAGAAGAGTTTGAACACAGAATCCATTTTCAAGATTTAGAGAGCAAAGAGTTCTCTTTTAGCGACCCAAAAAAAAGGAGAAAGGACAGGGAGAGAGAGTAAGTGGAAGAGAGAAGATGAGACTAAAAAAAGAGAAAACTTTGAGAATTGAAATTGAATTTGTGTTCTCACTAATGAACGTTTTTTGTGGCTTTATATAGTAAGCCACTAAACTAAGCCTTAGCTTTGGTTGTGAAACGACTATACGATCTGGTCAACTTTTGTATTTTTATTCTTTGTGTTTTATTCAATTTTGTTTTGCACCATTTGAGTTTCTTAATTATCTTAGTTTAATTTAATGTCTACGTGTGATTACTATACGTTTGGGATAAGAGATATAAACGGTCTTAGTTGGTAATTTAGTATAGTATAGAGTATGATAAACTATAGTTTTTACTATAATTAACTATCGTAATTTAGATGTTCTCATCACATGGTACGATTACTTCAAATTTGTAGGCTAAACTTGTAGTTCTCACTTCCGTAGACTAACTTGCAAAAAATATATCAAATGAATAAGTAATATTACATTAGTTTAATTCATATAGTAAAGATTATAACGTTTGCCAAGCAATCTTGAATTAAAATTACGAAAAACTGTCTTTACGTTTTTAAGTACGATATATTATTTTTTTATTTTTTTGGACCAAGTAAAATATATATTTATTATTTTTTTTTGGACCACGTACGATATATATTTTTTTATTTTTTTTGGACCAAGTACGATATAGTATTTTTTTCTTTTTTGCATTTGAATTTTGATATGAGTTTATATCAAAGAGTAGTTTTCCGACACCATCAAAGATTTTGCATAAAAGTCCTATAGTTATTCTCTCGAATTTTAGGTTGAAACGTTTTTCCAAAAGCCAAAACGTGGCGGCCTACCCAAAAACAAGACTCTGTATTTCCACGTCAATGGAATATTAGCATACCTTCCTTGATTATTGACTATCTTTATTTTCGTTAATTTATTGTCCCAGCGATCGTTTTTATTAATTAATTCCTCGTATTACTCAGTGGGATTTTGTTTTTAATACTTTTCCCCAATAATATGTACCTACTATTATCACTAATATATATATAATCAAATAGGCTAAAACTATTCCAGGCAAAACTCCCTGAAAAATGGTTTAACACGATGAATAAAAAGACACACGTGAGGGTTTAGATGTCGTTTTGGACACCTGACATAACTTCATGCCGCATGCAAGAGAAGAGATGTTTGCAAGAGTCTGTTGTTACAAACCAACCACAAAAAAGAGTCCTAGACCAACCAAGCCAAGCGAAACCAATGACGTGGCGATCTAGTTGCTCTCTGCAATATTGGGCTTTATTTGCGCCTATATAAGGAATATAACAATAGTAAATGGGCTTGATTCGAAATAATTACATGGGCCTAACATTGAAGCATGAAAACCTAGTGTTACTTCCGTGTCTCTTCGTTTTGTCGTTTCTTCTTCGCCAAGCTGCCTCTTCTCCACTTTTCCGGCAACAATGGTGAGATTTTTTTCTAAACTAACCGTCCATGAGAACCTGAATTAATTTCTCCAAATCAAGATTACCATAAATGCATAAGTGAATTACATGAATTAGAGTGGTTCAGGGTTTATCCTCTGTTTCCAAAACTGATGATTTTGGGTTTGTTTGCAAGGGCTGCAGGAACGTTGATGCTGGTTGTGCATACAATATGAAGTAAGAAAGAAAGATTCATGTTATTCTCATTCTTCCACTGTTTAATAGTTATGTTTTCATTTATCTGTTGTCTGTTTTATGCTTTTGGCAGTAAGAAGTACCATTAGAATTTAGACGGCTAATTTAGCAAACCGAGAGCTATAGACTACCTTTTCACAGAGAACGTTCTTCATCTATTTATAATATTTCTCAATTAATAAATACTGTAAATTACTAAGTTGACAAATGTGAATGAAGATATAAGTCAAATGAAAAGTTGTTTACACTTTGGTCAAAAACTCGGTTAGAGGTTTGCCTAACAATGAGTAAACCGATCTCCATCCTTCTTGGCTAGGGTGAAGATTATCCCAGAAGAAGTCTGACTTAGGATCATCACACAGACTATACTTCTTGACACCTTTCTCGTCCACATTCCCACAATTCCCTTTGCAACACGGCTTCAATGGGGTTTCAAATTTCTTACTCCCTACAATTTAATAAAGCCAATCACACACACAAAAAGAAAGCCTTAACTAACTACCGTTTCCAAAGGATCAAATCTGAAAATTTTCGTTACCAAGATTCGTTCCTTTCTTCTTGAAGACGGCCAAGAAAGCACTGTAGTAATCAAGCAATACAAAACTCGAATGCTTTCCTGTCTCGCTATTGAGCTTGGCCACTACTTGCTGCAACAACTTGTTATGTAGGACTACCAACGCATTCAATGGCTCATTGCAACGCTGGTACGAAGATAAAACGGTCAAACTGGGAAGGCAACCGAGTGGCTGTAGCGACGCTACTGCTATCTTTTTCACTCCCAAGGCGTGGATACGCCGCAAATCTACCTCTATTTGACTCAGGACTTGCTTTATGAATGTTGGGAATCCCTGCAATGCAAGATGGGGATGAATATACTCAAAAACCGAACAAAGTGAATAATAATAATTAAACTCAACGACCGAACAAGACGGAAACGATGTTTCATTCTTACCGCGACGGAGCCGTTTCGGATGTAGTAATAGGAATAGTCGTTGCCGGCGACGCTGACGAGAGCGATAGAAGAATTGAGGTCCGAGGGAGAGTAGATGTTGCCACTAGTGGTGAGAAGCTTCTGGAAGAAATCGATCTGAGTGGTCATATTGGGCAATGGAGTTAGAGTGGTGAACACTCCTGTTCCTCCGTACGCAAAATTCATTCCGTACTGCAACTGCTCCTTTCCTACAGACTCTTTTGACACGTACGGGATCGGTGACTTTATACCCATCGCTTGCGCTGCATCCATCCATATCCACGGCCGACACAGTCAAGTTTTTGGTTTAAAATTGTAATATATTAAAGACATGAATAAATCATATAATATTAAACAAAAAAAAAGCATATAAATATTGTGTCGACAAAATATATCTAAATTAATTTGAGTTAGAAAAGTTACAAGTAATTTCAATAACTTGATACTGTGACACTATGTGAAGTTTATGAGGAAAGATAGGTATTAACAATGGACTAGACGTGACAAAACCTTAAAGGATAAAGAGAGGTGTATACCTACAAAATCGGTGGCGACGAGGCCATCAGAAAAACGACCGGACGGTTTACCGGGGAAAGTGATACCGTAAGGAAATTTCCTAGATACAACTTCAGGCTTTATTATATTTCCTGTATCCACGTAAGAATCTCCGAACACAAATAGTTTCGTTGGTCTGACATGGTACAAGTTGTGATTCTGATTTGAAGCCTCAACTCCATTGATATCTTCTGTAGAAAAAAAAAAAAAAAGAATTTTTACTCTTTGCAAATAATCATGACTTTGAAATATTCCTTGGTTTGGTACGAAAGCTATTTATATATATGAATATGATGATTGTATAAATTACCAAATAGGAGAGAAGAGAAAAACAAGAACGCAAGGAAATGTTTCATCGAAATGTGTTGCAAGATTTGGTGCAAAAGCTTCTTTATTGTTTTGTTTAGGACGAAAATAAGTTTTAACATCACATATATAATCCCCTTCTAAAGCTAGTCCACTTCACACTTTTATATAGAGTAATAATTAATAATTCATAGAAAAAATCTTTTTTTTTTCTTTTGTTTTGAAGTCAAAGATAATTAATGTTTTAATATTTTATTTGATCAAACCATTATGACTTTCAATCTTATCTCCTTTTCTTTTTTCTTTATTTTTGGTAAGAGAAATGAAGAAGAAATTTACAAAGATTGAATGTCTTACTTAATTTATCACATTCCTAGTACAAATTTAATTGAAAAGATAAAATATAATCTAGCTAGATAAAGACAACAATTTATTTTACCTCCATATTAAAATGACTAACCAGATGTTTGTTAAGCATCACCGGTTCACCACTATTCTCCAGATTTGTAATGCATTACCATCAACACATTCGTATAAGTTGGAATATTTTTTTATCTTTTATATACATATCACCCCTATAAAAAAAAAACAAATATACTGATCAAGACGATATGAATGGCTTCTCGTGCTTTTTGTTTGTCATGGTATTATGTGTCCGGTCGAGTGACGGAAAACTATTTGGAGAAAATTTAGTTCAGTTTAAGAACTCTCTTAATCCAGGAAAGCAAATCAAAATTTCGTGTACTTTAAACAAAAAAGAACAATTTCAACTTTTTATGGACCCTGGAGAAACCTACGATTATAAGTTTCATGGCAAATATCTTCTCAAAAACAAAATGGATTGTCAGTTAACGCAGGGAGTACTTGGAGATGTATTGTTTAGGGCATATGAAGGTGCCAGTGGCATATTTGATCATGGTAAACAAAATTTTTGGGATGTTAGAGAAGATGGAGTTTACTTTACACATGGTAAAGAAACGCCAAAATTAGAGTATAAATGGATACCAAAATCTTTTATTTCGTCTTTGTTTTAATTGCAATTTCTTATCTTATGTTAATGAATGAAATATTGCAATCATATTTTATTGTTGATTCCTTCATAATTAAGAACAAATCCAAAAGTTATAAATTTCATTTGGGAGTTTTAACAAGTGGTTTTACGGTTTGGTCATTGAGTCGGTTAAAGGGTTCTCTAATACTGAGTAAACCGATCTCCATCCTTCTTGAGTAGGGTGAACTTCATCCCAAAAGAAAAAAGACTTAGGATCATCACATAAGGTATACAACTTTTCACCCTCATCCAAACGCCCACAATAACCATCGCAGCACGACTTCATCCGGTTTTTAAATCTTTTGCTCCCTGCGTTTTTCACAAACCAATCACACACAAAACGTTTTGATAGTAGCTAGAGATCAAACGTAAAACCTTTGTTACTTGGATCCTCACCTTTGTTCTCCAGCACGGTCATGAAGGCGTGATGAATATCAATGATGTAGTAATGCTGACCTTTCTTCTGAACCCTGGACTGTTCGTTGAGCTTGACCACCACTTTTTTCAACAATTTGTTGTGGAGTTGTACCATTGCGCTTTGTGACTCGTTGCAACGCTTGAACGAGGATGAAGAGGTGTAAGAAGGGAGGCATCCGATCGGCTGCAGCGATGTCACTGCTACCTTCTTAAACAAGAGGCCACTCAAAATTATCATATTAACGTGTAAATAATCCACCACTTGCTCTACTAACTCCTTCAATCCCTGTAAATTATCAATGAAGATAAAAGAACAGGACACCAAATAAAAGTATAATTTCTTCTTGTTTTTTATATTTTTAGAGCTAAATTTAACTAAAGGCAACGTTTAGAGTTAAAGAGGTGTTAATGAACCAATTGGATTTAACCAGACCGTAGCTGAAAATTCAATGTTTTTATTCTTACAGCGGCAGGGCGATTTTGGTCAATGTAATAAATATAATCGCCTCCAGCGTAGCTGATGAGAGAGACGTCGGAGGGAGTAATGTCTCCTTGGACACGGCCGGCGAGGACGATGTCTACCAAGAGATTCACCTGAGCAGATATATTGGGGAATGGACTATTCGTAGAGGAGGAGTCCAACACTTTGGACGCCCCGAACGCAAAATTCATTCCTTTTTTTAGGGTTTTCTTTTTCCCGTCAGTTCTATAAAGATAAGGTGACTCTGCCCCTAACACTTTTGCTGCACCAACCAACACAATAAATTTATGTAACATCCGCTTCAATATGTGATAAATAATATAATATAAGATCTAGACATCGTTGGAAGTTGGGAGAGAGGAACCTAAAAAATCGGTGGCGATGAGACCATCAGAATAACGACCGGAAGGTTTACCGGGGTAAGTGATACCGTAAGGGACGGCCCAAGCCTCTGTGTCGCTCTTCGTGTTTCCGGTATCAGCGTAAGAGTCTCCGAACACAAAGAGCTTTGGTGTTTTTTTGGGTCCAAAAAGCTTGTCTGAACCCAACACAAAGAGCTTTGGTGTTTTTTTGGGTCCAAAAAGCTTGTCTGAACCCATTACTCCATAGATTCCTCCTGCATATATATAAATTTATTTAAAAAAATCGAAAATCAAAATTTGGCCATGGAATTATGAAATTATATAAATTTACCAAAGAAGAAGTAGAAGGAGAGAACTAAGACTTTCATCAGAGAATACATTTATAAATTAAAAGTTCAGAGTAAAGACTTCTCTTTTGTTACAAGAATAAGTTAAAGGAATGGAGAGAAAAGAGAAAAAATATGGAAGTGAGAATTTTTAGGATTGGGATTTGAATGTTTTCTTACTAATCTGGCTTTCTTTAGAGCTAGTAACCTTAAAAAAAGTTAAAGGAGTTGATTTTGGTGTCTGTGTGATTAACGAAGGACAAAAATAATTTCAAAATTAAAAAAAGCGTAACAAATAAACTGGAGAGGAAATCGAGAGTATGTGGAGGAGATGGGATTAAAGAAGAGCAATTTGAGGATTGAAATTCGATCGAGTGTGTTATTACTAAATCATTGTGTAATCTTATATATATGCTTTATGCTTATTTAACTAGAAATATTTTAATTAACACATACGGTAACGAAAACAGTAATTATATATTTCTGGGGCACAACTCGAATGCAAATTTAGATGTGTTAGTACAATCTTCTGCAACGTTTCACTTGGACGAGAATCAGAATCAATCAAAAATTGACAAGAGAATTGCCAAAATGATTTCGTAATGGAATATTTCCATCACGGACATGTAAAGAAACTGTCCCACACCGGCATCGAAATAAAATATTATCGTTCCCGTGAAGAAAATGCAAATAATTTGGTTCCACGGTGATGGAAATCATAAAACAACTATATGAAAGAGTGACAAGATAGTTATTAATTCTCCAGATTATAATACATTACCATAGGTATATTGTATTTTTGCATTTATTATATATTTGACCAGAAAAAAAACACATTTTATATATATATATATATATATATACATATCTCAACAGTTTATATAAGTTAAAATATTATATCTTTTATACACATATTACCCTTACTAAACAAACACAACGGTTGATTGAAACGATGAATCACCTCTCGTATTTTTTGTTTCTCATGGTTTTGTGTGTCGGGTTGGGTAATGCGTTCCTGTTCGAGAAAAATTTTGTGCAATTTCAGAATTCTCTTATTTTAGATAAACAAATCTTGATCTTTTGTAAACTGAACGACCACCAAATATTCTTAGTTTTCTTAAACCGTGGAGAAGCATATAATTATAGATTCCATGGTGAATTTGTTCCCAGAAACAAAATGGATTGTGACATAAGGGAGGAACCACGTAAACATGTCAGGATCAGGGCATATGAAGGTCCTAGTGGCGCATTTGATTATGGTAAAACGAATTATTGGGATGCAAGAGAAGATGGAATTTACTTTACACATGGTAAAGATGTGTCAAAATTGGAGTATAAATGGTAAAAATAAGCGTCAAAATGAAATATAATATATTTATCTTTGTTTTATTTACCATTTCCTATTTTCTATTATTTGAAATTTGGAATGGATCATATTGAATTAAAAAAAAATATTGAAATCGAATAAATTGTCTTCTTTTTTTTTTATAACTTTTATCAACTTGTCTATGCTCAATGAATTAAAGATATATTTTTGTTAAGGATTAAAAACAATAAACAGAATTCGATTTCAAGAAATTGGAAAAGGCAAAGGTGAAAGTAAATAACTAACAAATGGAGTTTTTTTAAATGCCCAAAAATACACTTTGGTCAAACTAAAGACACGGTTAGAGATTTGCCTAATTCCGTATAAATCAGTCTTCATCCTTCTTGAATTGGGTTAATTCCATCCCATAATAAGAAAGCAGACTTAGGATCGTTACATAACGTATCTTCTTCGCACCCATCATATCCACACGTACACAATCGCCTAATTCGCAGCACGGCTTCAGCGGGGTTTTAAACCTCTTGCCCCCTGTTATTCCCACAAACCAATGACATACCAAAAAATAAAAATAAAGATCAAATAATGTGTAACCTGACCTTTTTCTCCAAGACGGCCATGAAGAGGCTTTATGAAGATCAAAGATGACGAAACGTTCCCCTTTGGTCCTAAACTTGTCCTCTTTGTTAAGCTTGGGCACAGCTTTCTTCAGCGACTCGTGGTGGAGCCTCACCAAATCGCCACATGACTCGTTGCCACGCCGAAATGGTGACACGTGGGAGGCATCCCTGCGGATGCAGCCACGTAACTGCTATATTCTTAAATTTTAGTCCGTTCATTATCTCTAGACTATACTACAGACTACAGTATATAAATTATTTCTACGTTATTACTAAATCATTGTGTAACCGTATATATGCTTTAACTAGCTAGAGATGTTTTAATTAACACATACGGTAACGAAAACAGTGATAATATATATATATATATATATATATAACTCCACTCGAATGCAAATTTGGATGCGTTATTAATTTGTTACTAACCTTTATATTATGTGGTCGTCCGTGTTGATGTCCTAACAATTTTATAGTATTCAACGAACAGTCTTTTCAGGATCTAACTCTGGGATATGTATGGCGTAAATGATGTAAACTGTGAGATGGATAGGGAGAGAGATTGTTTCATCAGAGAATTGCAAAATTTAGAGGAAGGCTTTTTTTTTTACTTTTTTTTTAAGGATTAAAACTTTGACATCATTTCCTTTGTATCAAATATAAATTAATCTCATAATAAATGATTGTAATTAAAATTTAACAATTTTATTAAAAGAGAACTGTTTACTAGCTAAAGATAAAACTCAGATCTCAAAAATATTATTTTCTCAATCATTAACCTTGTAACCTTTTTTGTAAGATACAGTATATTTTTAAGACCAGAAGAAGGAAAGAAAAAAAAAAAAAAAAATTTCTTTTGTGACAAATCTAATCAGTAATTAAAATTTTAACCTTCTCATAATTATTTTTTGGTAAAGTCACTTTGACTACCACTAGTTCAACATTATTGTCCAGATTTAGAATACATTACCATAAAGTTATTTTTTTTTTTTGCATAAAACATTTATTATATATTTAACCCCAAAAAAACATTTGTTAAATATATTTATAGTAAAATTTAATTTTCTGTGTATATTAGTTAGAATATTCTATCTTTTATATACATATTACCCCAACTAAACAAAACAACGCTTGGTTGAAACGATGAATCACCTCTCGTATTTTTTGTTTGTCATGGTTTTGTGTGTCCCAGGGTTAGGTAATGCAAAACTCGGGGGAAAAAATTTAGTACAATTTAAGAATTCTTTGATTTCGGCAAAACTAATCAACATCTTTTGTAAATTGAACAACCACAAACTATTCATAGTTTTCTTAAAACGTGGTCAAATATACAAGTATAGTTTCCATGGTCAATTTGTTACCAGAAACAAAATGGATTGTGACATAAGGGAGGAAAACCTTAAATCTGTCTGGATCAGGGCATATCAAGGTTCTAGTGGTGCATTTGATCATGGTAAAACGAATTATTGGGATATAAGAGAAGATGGAATTTACTTTACACATGGTAAAGATGTGCCGAAATTGGAGTATAGATGGTAAAACACCAAATTTGGAGTATAAGAAAAAGTATAATATATTTATGGGTGTGTTGGCAAACTAGTACGTTTTTGAAACATAATTATAAAAGTAGTACATTTACTATTCATAATTAGCAAAATAGTACATTTTTACTATTTCAGATATCTGTACAGACAGACAATTGTACAGTAACATATTATTGTACATCAAATATTTGTACAAAGGGAAACAACTACAAATAAACATATTTACACATAAACAAATATACATATATAGACCAGAAAATATCTGTACACATACAATTATATGTATATACAGACCGCTGTACGGATGATTTTCCGTACATCGACACACAATTGTACATAAGAATAGCTGGACGTATCAAAATTTGTTTGAAAAATATTTGAAATTATTAAAAAAATGCATATCAAATTATAGAGAAAAAAATATAGATTTTTATGTAATTGAAATTTTATATAAACCAAATATATTTTGATGAATATTTTAGTTATTAGATTTAAGAGGATTTTTAATAGTGTCTAAATAGTGTTCAAATAGTAAAAATGTATTAGTTTGCTAATAATGAATAGTGAATGTACTACTTCTACAATTATGTTTCAAAAATGTACTAAAAATCCAATTAATCCTATATTTATCTTTGTTTTATTAACCATTCCCTATTTTCTGTTATTGGAATTGATCTTATTGAATAAAATATTTAAATCAAATAAATTTTCTATGTGAGTATCTCAATGAGTTAAAGAAATATTCTTGTTAAGAAGAAAAAACAATAAATGGAATTCAATTTCAAGAAATTGGAAAAGGCAAAGGTGAAAGTAAATAACTAACACAAATGGATTTTTTTTAGATGCCAAAAAATAATTGTACACTTGGGTCAAATTAAAGACTCGGTTAGAGATTTGCCTAATTCCGAGTAAATCGATCTCCATCCTTCTTGAGTTGGGTTAATTTCATCCCAGAAGAAAGCAGACTTAGGATCATTACATAAAGTGTACTTCTTCGCACCCTTCATATCCACACGTGCACAATCGCCTTCGCAGCACGGCTTCAACGGGGTTTTAAACCTCTTGCTCCCTGCTATTCCCACATGCAAACCAGGGGCGGACCCACATGTCATATGGTGGGGGCAGCTGCCACCAGCAAAAAAAAAAAAAAAAAAATACATTAAAAAATTATTAAAAATTAGAAAAAAAAAAATCTGACCCTACTAAAATTGTTCTTCTTTCTTTTTTTGTCCCCACCGAACAAAAGCCCAATATCAAGTTATCAACCCATATAGCAAACAAAAATATTAATATATAAACCTAAAATAACTAACTTAATAAATTAAAGACCTAAACCTAGTTTGTTGTTATTTTTTCTCCTATTCTTTTCTCCTCTGGTTTTTTTTGCTGTACACGACGATTAACAAGTGCAAGTCAACAAATATCAATTGGTGAGTCTTTTTCCTGCTTTTTATAGAAATTATTATAGTGTGATGTGACATTATTACTGTAGGTTTTCTAAATTTTTAACTAATAACATGTTTTTGTTTTATAGCTAAATCACCAATATGAAAATTTTTTACAAACCAATTCCTAAACCAACGCCACACTCCAATATCGATGATCAACCACGGGATCTAGCTAACACCAATGTTGATGATCAACCACTGGATCCAGCTAACACCAATGTCGATGATCAACCATTGGATCCAGATAACACCAATGTCGATGATCTGCCATGGGATCCAGCTAAGAGAAAAGAGATAGTGAGTTATCACTTTTGATTGTGTGTTCTAGGTA